CAGCGTATAGTGTCACTTGCGTGCTCGCACAGGTGCTGGGTTTTCCCACCAAACCATGTCTCTCATTAGGTCATCGTGACGACAGAAGCGCATTTTGTTTAATTGCATTCTCATTAGTGCTGCTATACAAAAAGATCAGCCACTGACCTCGTTGCACCCGGGGGCACCAAGCTTGTTATATGCATATCCTCTCGTTTCATATGGGTTTAATTATTGTTGTGAACAAACCATGGTTTGAACGCTACGTGCAGGAATTAATGCCCACTGGTGTAAAGGGAGCTAAATACGATTATATTTCATCTGGATTACATTATCAAATTTCAAAAATGTATTTGTAATTAGATTATATTACATTTTTAAAAAATGGTCATAATCAGATTAGCCACTTTTTTTATTATATGAAGAGTTTAGATGCAAAAGCCTCTAAATGCCATTTGAAATTTTCTTCTTTAATGATGATTTTTATCAAACTTGTATATTTAAGTTCAGTAATTTCACTTAAATAACAATTAATAGGTAATCTTCATTGCCATTTAAGTGAAATTACTGAACTTAAATATACAAGTTTGATAAAAATGATCATTAAAGAAGAAAATTTAAAATGGCATTTAGAGGCTTTTGCATCTGAACCCTTCATATATGTTTGCTATTCACTCAATGACAGTAATTTGTTCATATTTTATTGATTTTACCTAATGTAAAGCAGGTGATAGGTTAAAAGTAATCAAAGTGTAGTCACATGGTCATGTCACAGCACTCATAAACACATATATAGTACTGCAATAGACACAAATCTTTGCCAAAAAAACACAGCACGACTTTCTCAGAGTCCCGTCTGATCACCAAGGTTTACAAGACAGGAGCCACCAAAACCCACACGTACACTAAATATACATATGTGCCTTTCAAGGCTCCAAGAATATCCTTGATGGTAGTGTTCTCTTCCAAATACGTCCCAGGACACATTATTTCTGAAAAATGAACTCGTCCATGGGACGCCACCCCAGTGATCTGTAAGGCACCTATTTAAACACAATACTTGTTCTTCTGGATAAATGTGGATGTATGGTGACTATAAAAAGTATACACTCGCTTGCAATTATTGTTTTTACAATTATTGTTTTACAACTTTAAAACCACTGAGAATTTCAATTGACCATTTTGACACTAATTATAAACCTGTTCTTTTATGTGAAAACTAAGGCCATTATGAGACTTTTTGACTCAAAGAAAAAAACAAAAAAAAAACATGCATGAACTTTTCACCTTCATAGTTGGTTTGACATGCAATAAAAGTATTTTTATCCTTTCAGTTTGAAGGATCAGATTTCCTGTTTTCTTTCACCATTCTTTGTGTGACAGGATGTTACATCAGGTGTTGCAACTATTTAATTAAATCCACAGTAACAGTGCATGTTCTTTCCCAGTTTCCTCAAGATTGAACCTACATAAATATGTGGCATTATTATGATTACTAATCTCTGGACATAATGTACTAGCAAAAAAAATAAAAAAAAAAAGTCTGAATAGTCACTATATATATAGATATATATATATATATTGAGTTGGACATGATTCAAAAAGATAAATGATCCTGAAATATTGTAACACTTGCTCTCCTCCAGAAATGCATGGGAAATTAATTTCATCTAGTGGTACTGCACCCAAACACAATCTTACAGAAAGCTACTTTTTTGAGTTATGGAACACAACTTGTTTAGATATGTGGCATTGTTTTTCTTCCAGTTTTGTAGTAAAACATGTATAGGAAAATATACATTTCACATAACATTTTAATTGTGCATTTTTCATAACAAAATACACTTAAACTTCAAAAACTTTAAGTTTTCACCTTTATCACTTTAGCAGTTTGTTTAAACTTCAGAGATTTTTTGACAGTTTAAGTTTAAATTTCAGGTCTATGCCCAAAAGGAGAATAAATGGATTATAAAATTAGTCCTGATACAGTTATATGAACTTATTTGAATTTCAATCCATATAGCTTTTTCCTTTAAAAGCTGCTCAAGCTCAATCAATCAAAGTGAAAAAATCCAAGATTGAATATGTAAGGCACTGTACTTGGAAAGGAAACATTCAACCTTTTTTCATTATCGTCTTGTCTTCATACTTGCTGTCTGCCTCTTACATTGCTAACCCACTCCAGGTGGAGTGGCGCTGGAGTCCTAGAGAGATGGTGGGGAATTGCTAAGGGGGCAAGAGGTGTCAGATCCTAAAAAGGCAGAAAGAGGAACCTGATAGTGGCTGGGTGATGGAGGTCTGGACCGGGGCAGAAGGGTCTGGGGCTTCGGGTATTGAGGGCAGGATTATTGGGGACAGGCTGAGGAGAGATGAGGGCAGAGAGCAATCTGACCCAGCGGGAGAGAGTGAGAGAGAGAGAGAGAGAAAGAAAGAAAGAGTGGGTGAGATGGGGTTAAAAACTCAAAGAGAGACTAAGGAAAGGAATGAGATTCAAGGAATGCTGAAACCACAAGGTGGAGAGAGAGAGAGAGAGAGAGAGAGAGAGAGAGAGAGAGAGAGAGAGAGAGAGAGAGAGAGAGAGATTCTATTGAATCTTTTAACCTACCTAATGAAATAAAGCAGTATACGAGTTGCCTGCCATTCGTCTGATTAACTATCTATTCATCAAATGAATCCTGAAAAAAGTATCACAGTTTCTACCAAGCTATTAAGTAGCACAACCGTTTTGAACATTGATAATAAGAATTGTTTGTTGAACATCAAATCAGCATTTCTGCTCTTCAAAATGTTACTGTATTTTTGATCAAATAAATGCAGCCTTGGTGAGCAGTAGCAAACTTTTGAATAGTATATTGCACTTTAGAGACACCAATGATACTCTCCTAAGCCTGAAACAATGATTCTTTACCTGCTCATCGGTGATGCCACGTTCACACAACATTTGGAAAGCACCACAGGGGACATTTTCACTCATTAAACAAACACACGGTTACGTCAATACACGGTTTCACCTCTATTACAGTAGGCTCTAAAATAATGCTCAATGCAAAACTGAAACAACAATTGATAGAGATCACAGCAAATGATTAGTGGGCCTTCAAGGCATGTTCCGGGTTCAACAAGTTAAAGCTGTCGACAGCATCTGTGGCATTTTTAAAAACAAGCAGAAATTGTGTTTGCGGTAATGAACTTAAAATAGCCTATAAGCCTATGCGGCAAGACATATTTTATTAACAGTTAACAATAAACATAACAAATACACTGTAAAGCAACAAGACTGAATGAAACATTATACTTACAAGTAACGACTCTAATTAAATCCCAATCAAGTAAATGTTCAATCGATTAAACCGTACCGCTGTAATTTTAGTATTATTTATAGTTTTTAATATTTTGAATGGGCTTATGTTTTCATTTTTCATTTTAAGTTTAATTATGTAGTAATTTTATGAGCTATAATGCCATTTTTTTTATACACTGCTAGATTTATTTTCTTTTTCAGTTCTAGTTGTAGCTGTTTTATTTTACATTTTTTTTCTAGTTAATTTATTTCAGCAACTGAAACTTATTTTTAGTTTGATTTTTCACATTTTTGTTTATATCTTCCATCTAACTTATATTGTATTTTATTTAATCTTACTTTATGTTAATTAACAAAAATGTTTCATTTTAGTTTAAAAATAATAACACTGAGCTGTACAAAAGTAAAACAGTTTACCCACATAGAAAAGAAAGTCCCAGTGATAAAAATGTGATTTGGACAACTTTACAGCTCAAATATAATTTATGTTTGGAATAATTTTATTGAATAAAAGCACTTAAAAAAAATAAAATAATAATGAACTGCGCGTTTCCACCTTTAACCCCTGCCTTCCAATATAAATTTGTCTACTAAGACTAAAGAAAATAAGTGTTTTTCAATCACACATGGTTGTGGACAAACAGGTAGCTTCACTCTTTCACTGATGTCTGCACAAACAAACTCGACCTCATGACAGAAACCCATTTCTCTTTCATTCCCTCTCTTAGTTCTCTCATCCTTTTCCTCTTCTCTTCCTCTTTTCTCTCTGATGGCATCTGAGACACAGGACGTCTCCACACTAAAGTGCTGAAAGAATTGGACACGTCCTGTGATAGAGACCACAATGAAACGACTGCCGTTGGACCACACAGATACAGTGACGCGCAAACTAAAACCTTCCTCACTATTTGCATTTATCAAGAGCATTGAGTCCATCACTGTCATGTCTTATTGAAAAAACAAAACAAAACTAAATGTGGTGTTTGCAGTTCAAGACCAAACTCAACACATGGGAGTCTGTTTGAGTGTCATTATAACCTAAAGGTATAAATATATTTAAATCAGGTGGCTCCCCATAAAGGTTAAACACATACTCACATAAACAGATATGACGACTTTCCGACGCTTCAAATCTAAAGGTGATGCAAATCACTATTTTCTCTGTTCTGTTTTGCATGTTTGAAGCTGCATGAAATAAGATTCTCATCATTTCTTATTATGGAGAAGGCCATTAACATGTTTAAATAAAACCGATTTGGGCTTGTAGGGGTTAACTCTTTTTTTTTTTAAAAAAAAAGAAGATATCTTTGGTTTCCTAAACTAACTACAAGTGTTCCTGTTCAAATCAAGGAAAAACAGAGCCTGACTGCTTCTAGTGGTCATTGGAGAAAGTGCAGTATGACAGACATCATTAACTGGGTGCCATTAAGGAATTAACATTATATATTTAAAGCATTTATTTGATTAATAAACAGCCTTTCGGTTCGAAAGGGAGATTACAATTTAGGCTAATTTATAACTAATTGGTGACTGTTTTAAACTGTATATATACACACACAGCGTTCCCATTCTTTTTGTTCAATACAAGTGTTTCATGACCTTTCCAGTTGTTCCCAAGTACACAAAAATATAGAAAAGTAATTATAGATTGCTGAAGCAGATCTTTTTTGTACCTCATGTATTAATCTGGTAGTTACTGGATATAAAAGATTACACATACTAGTTTACAAAAATATATTTAGTGTTTTATTAGTCTTGTCTCCAAAGAGATCCTCATCTGACATACTGATGTTTCACGCTTACATGTGGCATTCATAAAACAATATCTAGTCCATAAAATAGCTTAGAGCAAAACAACAACAACAAAAAAGATTTCTTTGATGTTTCCAAGACCTTTTAAAATTCCCTGGTATTTCCATGGTTTTCCATGACTTGTCCCAAGGTCAAAGAAAATAAACCTTATTCTTTTAGGTCCAGGGTTTACTAACACATTCAAAGACTCTTGGACACAAATCTAGTCAAAACGTTTTCCCCAAAACTAACACCTCCCAATGCTCAGGCTTTTCCCAAACCTTACAATTAACTGTCCAACACATAACGCAAACATGTTCAAAAACAGACAAATCATTGCCACGGTTTACACATGTACAAACCACAATGTTTAACTTCTGTCAACAAGCATCAGAATTATTCTCCTGTCACGCTTTGCAAAGATACATCTGGAGTGTTTTGGTCAAATGTTATGCTGATAAGTGCATTTTGTTATTTCAATTTAAGGCGGCTGAAAAATATTTGCACGACAGACTAAATACAGAAACAAACATGATTAAAATGAATGTACATTATTTTAAAAAAATAGATTGCACAAAATGTAAAAAGAAAAATCAAAATACAAACCCAAGACATTCAAACTTAAGAAATGTATTTGGAAACATCTTTTAAAAATACTGTTAAGACTGAAAACTAACTATTATAATATTTTATAACAGATTTAAAAGTTAAAGGAATAGTTCACCCCCCCAAAAAGCAGGAAAAATAATTTACAAATCCTCATGACATTCCAAAGCTTCATAAAAAGAGAAGTTTTGAATAATATCCAGGTTATTTTTTCCCAATATAATAAACCATTCACTGAATTCCCCCACATTGAAGTTCTGAATTGAACCAGTGGTGAATGGTTTGGTGTTAACCTAAAATTTCTGATTTTTTTTTGTGTAGTTTTTTACTTTTTTCTAGATAAAATGCTGTAACAAAACCAACACTGAAATTGAGAAAAATGGGTTCAACATTTTTTTTTCTATTACTCTGAATCTTACCATAGTTGAGCCAAACCCATCTGACACAGGACAGCTCATAGTCTAAGAGATCTGATTAGTCAAATGGACCACTTTTATGACACTTCTATTGTGCTTTGGTTTTCATTTTGGAGCTTGCTTGACAGATTGAACCCCCTTTAATTATTTGGAAAAAATATATTCTCCAAAAATAGTAATTTTACATTCAGAATGGGTTTAGAATGACATGAGGATTAATAAACAATGACATAATGTTTATTCTGGGTGAACTAAGGAAATTGTAAACATTAACATGCTGAATACAAAAAAACTCCTATAACATGCACACTCATTCTGTTAGCCCACTTTTCTGTTCCATTTCATTACTGCTACAGTAACCTTTGACACCTGCCCCTGCAGAGGGAGAGCGAGGACACCACGATATCCGTGCTACTCCGCGTAACAAGAGATGTCTCTACAGAGGCAGGTTCAGGTCAAGTTACAGATCAGATGCGTTCGGATCCATTTATAAATAAGACTGTACTCATACTAGACTTTGGTATTTTTTCTGAACAAATAATGCTGCACGCAAGATTAGTCATCACTCGGCATAATTGTCGCTTGTATTGTAGTATTCCTCATCTGTAAGTCATTTTGGATAAAGCATCTACTAAAAGAATGAATGTAAATGTCATTATTCATGCTATTGTAGTTTGTAACGTTTAGTGCTGCTTTGAAAGAGCATTATTTTGCAGAATTGCCTGACAAAAGTTTAGAATTAAACTTGAGCATTTTAAAACCGAGGATTAGACTGCAGTTTTGATGCTGATCCCATCTGTTAGTTTGTATTGGACAATCAAGGATGGTCAAAAGTGGATGATGTTACCAATTGCCGCCTTCGGGGTTTCAGCTTCAGAGATCCATAACGAGGCTTAAAACCAAAACAACAAAAAAAAAACAATACAACACCAGTACATATAGTTAATCTTCAGTAAATACTACAGTGCGGTTTTAATATCTGAGACCCCCAGGGAAAATGTCTGTAAAACGATTAATCGTGATTAATCGCATCCAAAAAAAAAAAGTCTGTGTTTACATAATATATGTGGGTGTATTGTGAATAATTATTTTATATATATAAATACATACACATGCTTGTATATATTTAAGAAATATTTTCATGTATATACTATATATAATTTATATTATATATATATATATATATATATATAAATATTTTATATATAAATAATATTTTTTTTTCTTAAATATACATGCATGTGTGTAATTATATATATAAAAAAATAATTATACACAGTGCACCCAAACACAAACTTTTATTTTGGATGCGATTGATCGTGATTAATCGTTTGACAACCCTACTTTAGATTTGAATTAGTCCTGTCAAATCGATTAATGGCGATTAATCGATTCGACAGAACTAATTAATTGAAGAATTGAAGAAAAAATGTTTGCATGTACCTCTTTGCGTGCTGCTTTGGCACGGGTGAGTTTGACACTCTGAGATCTGCGCAGGCCCTTCTGCACTGATGCCTCGTCTTCAGAGAATACTCCATCTGTTTCTTCCTCATGCCCCTCCCCAGCTTGTGTATATGGCTCTGTTGGAGCAGATGCACAGAGGAAGCAATAAAGATCTCAAACAAGAGGAACTGAACCTTGAAGAATTAGTTTACCCAAAAAAATTAAAATTCTATCATCATTTACGCACTCTGTTGTCACTCTAAACTCATTTTGTGAATTTGTGGAATGAAAAAAAAGAAGAGAGAATGCACCATGAAAAGTTGGAATATATTGGAATATAGTGGAAAATGTTAATGCTGCTTACTTTTATTGTGAATGCAGTCTTCCTTTCTCTATGAAAGGCATTTGGGTTTAAAGTGATATGATGGTGAGTAAATGACCGCATTTTTTGTAAATAAATACATGATGTTTGCTAACTGCATGATTTGTATTATCTTACAACAGTATATGTCTTTTTTAGGGAAAAACAGGGGTCTATTGTAGACCAACAAATAGATTACTTGGGCACGCCGAAAGAGCACCACAGACACAGTACAATGAATCAACATGGGAAAATCTCATAGTAAAACAAGCGGCTGTGAAAATATGATACACCAGTGTTTTGCCAGATGAGAAGTTTATCTATGCATCATCTTTTTACTCTTTTTAATTCATTTTATAACTATATCATCCTTATATCTTGTTTAATTCCGTTTTAACCGTTTTAATTTTCCTTGCTTTTATTTTTGTGATTATTTAAATACCTTTCTGTGTAAAGCACTTTGAATTACCATAGTCTATGAAATGTTCCATTTAAATAAACTTGAAAAATTACCTGATAACAGATTACTCTAAATTGTAATGCACAAAGAAACATGCATTTTCTGGAAAGTTGCTTTGAAACAATATATATCGTGAAAAACGCTATTCAAATAAACGTGAATTCAATTTAATTGGTTGAACAGCAAGACTTTCCATCAGTTTCCATAAGGATTATTCTTCAATCCTTGTTCTACCACTAGAGGGAGACATACTGTAATAATTATTATTTAACAGACAATGTGCTCCACTAGGGTTCATCTGCCCTTGAGGTCTTTTGCTAATTTTGACTCTTACAGCTCATTTGTTTCTTTAGTTAAATCAGTATGTGGTAATTTTTCATAATTACATAATCAATCATTTATCATTATATAATCAGAAATGATGTCATTAGAGCATGTGCTCACCAGAATGGACAGCGTTGGGGTTAGAAGGCTGAAGGGCCCGTCGTCGGCTGGGGTTGGAGAAGGCTGACTGCTCAGAGGGGATCTGTGTTAGGTCTGGAATACTGAAACTCCTCAGACGTTCACTGATGGCACCCTGTCCCTGTGACACAAGTCATGTGATCAGCTTTGTCAATATGCATGATCTATGGTACACAGGGCATTGAGTAAACACAATTCAAGAACCAAAAAGCCTTCATTTGTGTGCTTTTTATTATACACAAGCAAAGACATATTTTTATCTGAAGGCATTGACCTGTTAATAATGGTCTAATGATGTGCTGGTTACAGGTTACAGCAGATAGAAAAAGAAAGCAAGTTACCTGGGACAGGTGCAGAAGCTACTGCTGGAGTTTAATTTAGCATATAGACAGAAAGAGAAAGGAAACAGGAAGATTTGTGCTAGATTTTTACATTGTTTTTTTGAAGAAAATGTGAGATTAGAACAACATTAGAAACTGCATAATGTGAAGAGTGTTGCTGTGCAGTGATTTTAGTGTGTTGCTATGCGGTTGCTAGGATGTCAAAAGTCGAAAGAGACCAACCCTAGATATTTTTGTCTCTAGATATGAGCAGTGGACTTTAGCAAGCATCACTACTTAAAAATAATAAAAAACAGAAGAGCACTAGTTGGAGATTTTCTTTTAAGAATCAGACATGGCCAGACATTAAATTTGAAAAAAATAAAAAAATAAAAAGAGAGAACAAGAGAGGCAATAGTGAAGAGCACTCGTTATTGAGTCACTCTTGTTTTAATTTCCATGCAGTATCTGTCTTAATATTAAAAATAAACAAATTATAACAGAAAATAATCATTCTGACCTAAAGGTATTTTAACAGAAGTATATAGACTACTACTATTCAAAAGTTTGGGGTCAGTATGATTTTTTTTTTTGAAAAGAAATTAACACTTTTATTCATCATGGATGCATTGAATTAAGCATACATTTATATTGTAACAAAAGCTGCTGTTTTGTAAACTTTCCAATTATCAAAGAATTCTGAAAAAAAAAAAAAATACTTTTAACATTGATAATAATAAGAAATGTTTCTTGAACAGCAAATCAGCATATTACACCATGTGGCACTGAAGTCTGGAGTAACTGGAGTTGAAAATATTCAGATTTGCCATCACATTAACAAACATTTTGAAATCTATTATTAGTTATTTTAAATTGTAATAATATTTCATAATATTATAGTTTTTAACTGTATTCTTTTTCCATTTAACTAACAATATCAAGTTCTTAAATATTTAAAACAGAATCTGGTATACCATTTCCTAGAAATCAATTGTATAAGCAACAAGAGCTTAAAACTACGGAGCCCCCCCTGGTACCACTTTGTCAAAATATTTATTATAACTATCTCTTGGCCTCAAGATAGTAACTCATGGTCTCAAGATCGTAAAGTGTCCAACACATGAACCCTTTTTTATTAAACAGGACCCTGTAAGGCAAAACAATATTCTTTGTTTTATTATTCAGTGTGCAATGCAGTTTGCTGCAGTTCTGCTTCTATTTATTTTCTAGTACTGTTCATCACAATTCTGTTAATACAGTAATGTAAATCTTTGTATGTGTATGCTTTAAGTTAGTGTGTTGTAGGGGTGTAACAATATATGATGTCACAATTTATCGAAATACAAAAATGCAACAATATGTATCGTGGATAGTTCACTCAAAATAATAATTACTGTGTGGGAATGTTTTAACAGTTTAAGTGTCAGTACTACATTGAACTCCTATATATAATGTTGAATACAGTGTATAATAATGCAATGGAGGAATATTTGTTTACCAGTACAAATTGACTGACATTATTTTAAATACATCTCGTCTATGAAGATTAAAAAGCATATTTGTCTTAAATAATAATTCTGTATTTTCAGCCTCAGAATCATGAATATTGTTAATCTGGTGTCTCTATTGTCCTGTGCATTGAGTTTCCAGCACCAAGTTCAAGCCTATTCATTTACACACACAATGTAAAACAAATTTAGCATTTTAATCAACAATTATTTTTTTTGATCACCTTTTAACATGTCTTGGAGCATCGCAATAATATTGTATCAGGAGTTCAGTATCGTGACATGTATCGAATCGTGATGCATGAGGCGCCGTCTAGGGCTCAAATCAAAATTCATTCACGCACACATACAGTATATGAAACACGTGCATACACATATAGTACTTAGCGCGGAACTCTCCACGGACATACTCATTTGAGACATGCGCGCACACACAAACTATCCTCCACGCACAGACCCATGTAAGACGCATGGTCACACAGTACATGATGCATATGATTCTCAGTGTGAACTCACACACAAACTCAATGAGGCCACGAGTTACTACCTTGAGGCCACGAGATTGTTATAAATTATTTTTGACAAAGTGGGACCAGTGGTGCTCCGTATAAAACAGCATCTCAGAAATGTCTGTAAAAAATTAAGTAATGTATCAATGCAAAACACTGTCCCTGATTTCATGGAATGAAAGCTGTTAGCTGACCAAATCAGCTTAGTTAGTTAGCTTAGCTCAAATGCCCAGTATGAGCGCGTGTCTGTGTGATACCTTCACAGCAGCAGATACGGCAGCAGCAGCCGCGATAGTGAGGCCCTGACGCCCGAAATTCACCATCGTCTCATAACTCTTGTCTCTGGCCTGGACAATATAGTCATCAATATCCTGCGAAACATAATGTAAAAAAACTATAAATCTATCATTAAAATTCAGCCTTAAAGGGATTCATTTGGTATGTTTTAGCTTACCTCAAGGGCATCCAAGATGTAGGTGTCTTTGTTTGTAGTAGTTTCAATTTTGATATTTTTAGGTCAAACCGTTCGTGACTGTCAGTCATATAATGCAGGTCTATGGTCACCACCTCAAAGAGCATGCACAGATAAGTCCAAATTAAACATGACTTAATTACTCATAAATGTAAATGTTTACGAGTCATTAAGTCATGTTTAATTTGGACTTTTCTGTGCATGCTCTTTGAGGTGGTGACCATAGACCTGCATTATATGACTGACAGTCACGAACGGTTTGATCTAAAAATATCAAAATTGAAACTACTGCGGAAACGAAGACACCTACTTCTTGGATGCCCTTGAGGTAAGTAAAAACATACCAAAAATTTAATTTCAAAGTGAACGATCCCTTTAACCTCAAACTAGGATTTTGACAACAAACAATTACAAAGGGAATGAGATATGCAGTTAAAGGAACCGTGGAGTTTAAATCATAGTTAAAAATGATCACATAATCAAGACATCCAACAAACCCAACCCATCTGTTTTTCTCTTAACGTTATTTATGTAATCATTGGCAATGTAATCCTACTGAGTCCATAATACATTTCAGTATGACTGTGTGTTCACTATCAGTCAATGCCTATTCCCAGGGAACCTGATGATGTGTTAGGTTCATTACCCTTTCCTTGGATGCCAGCATAGGGTGTAGGAACTTCCTGTAGAGGACACTGGCTCCTCTGGTGTAGGGAGACAGCAACCAAAAGACGAAAGCCATTTTCAGTTCGTAGTAAACTGGAAACCTAAAACATAGTCAAATGCAATTAATGTGAAAATAGAGGGATGACGGAAGACAAAAAGAATGAGTTTGAGTTAAACTTTCTCTACGATCTCTACAGTCTCATGGACCTTAGTAGTACAGGTAAGTTCACCTAAAAATGAAAGAAATTCTCAATTATTCACCCTCATGCCATTCAAAACCCATAAGACTGAAGAATGAAGATATTTTAATGAAATCTGAGCAATTTCTGTCCCTCTATTGATAGAATACTACTTTGACACTTCAAAAAGATCATCAAGAGAACATAAAACTAATCAATTTGAATTGAGTGGATTAGTCCAAATTATCTGAAGAGACTCTTAATTTGTTTAACAGATTTAATTTAGGCTTTTATTCACATATAAACACAACCTAATTAATCAGCATATTTTTTTAAAGGCGAACTTTCCCTTTAAGCAATTTGAATAATAAAATAATTTGCCAAATGAAAGTGATAATATATATTTGTATATATTTTAAACTATTGTTATTTATTTATGTTTAAGAATTTTAGTGCCATGTTTTTTAGAACCCTTTACTATAGAGTACTCTGTGCAGTTTTATCCTCAGCTATCCTTAAAAACAAAGCTGATCTAATTTAGGATGACGCGGGCCAGTAACTTATTTATTTATTTCTTTTTTAAATGTCACGAAACTAATGAAATGCACCAACATTTAACTGAACTGAAACTGAACCTAACAGACTGGTTCCCCAAAGTGGCCTGAGGAAAATAAACGGAGCTCAAAATCTGCAAAGTGCCGCAACAGATAAAAGCCCTTTTCATACACCACAAAGGCTGGACAGTGAAAAGCCACACAATAGAGAAGAATTGTAAAATGTTAATAAAACCACTTGATGCACAATTACTCCATGCAATCCAATAGCAATCATTTGTCTCTTTTCAGACAGTGTGACTCAGTATGTACAGTATTTACCAAGCCAAAGAAAGGTCTGTGATGGTCTCCACCACTGTGTAAAGTGCAAACACAATCCAGTACATCATCCATCGCACCTGTCAAACCACAAACACAAAATGTTTGTTGAAAGAATAGAAGAGATAATGCAAAAACACACCATGGAGGACCATTTAAACCAAGGTACAACTTTTTTGGCGCTCGAGCGGTTCATAAAAACAAAACTGCATGCGTCTTGTGGAAGAATATTGTAGCGGAGCTACTTCTTTCGGTTTATGTTTATGATGACGAATCATGCAGGTTCTTCACAGCGGTTGTCGTCCCGCTCCGTCTAAAATAGTCAGAATATAAAAACGTTTTATAGGGATATCATAGTGATCCAGGATAAGGCAAAACACGATATGGAAGATGGTACAATCATGATGCTCATTAGTTGTTACATACATTTTAAACAAAAAGTTACATAGTGCACCTTTAAATATAACAATATATGAATATTGATAAATTACTATATGATATATCAAAATACTATTGTATACCAAATACATTATATTTTGTAAGGAGAGAAATGGAAGTAGCTGGAAGAGACCATAAAGTGGGGATACACAGGATTAAAATGCTAAACAGCTCAGGGTTTAGTTACTCACAGCCTCTATCAGATACTAAGAGTAACCGGGATATACAAACAGCTGGAGCTCTCCATCTACTATGGCTGTTAATGTTCTCTGAACTCAAATATTAAGAGTCAGTGGAACATCGCTGGATAATTATATGCATATGACATTGTCTTGTTTGTTCAAGGAATTGCATACTCACATATTCTTTGACGTTCTTGGATTTGACAGCTTTAAAGGAGTAGTATGCAGGATACAGCGTTCCAAACACAAGACTGCGAAGAAACACAAACAGGCATGCAATTGAGACTACTATATTCTAAAATGCCTGCTAAAGGCACAGGCAAACAAATAACAGTTCAAGCTTACAGTAACACTCTTTACAATTAGGGCTCCATATTGATTGATCTATATCGGTTATCAGACAATATTAGGGATTTTTTTTTTTTTTTACTTTTGGTTTAGCTTTGCCATCATCTAACATTCACATTCTTTAAAATTAATACTTTATTTTAAAACAATAACATTTTTTATAACACTGTCTTTAGTTAAATCTTGAAGTTGATATCTTTTTTCCTATTGTTGTGGTGCCTAAATTCACTTATAGCATTTAAATGGATTGATCTTTGTGTTTTATTTAGACAAAATAGTGGAGAATTCAATCATTTTTTGGTTATTTTGCCATAACAAATATGTATGGGCTTATTATATAAACCAGAATTTGAATATCCCTATTGACAATTTTGTATGAAATATGACTAATATTTAACATTCATTTGGATGCCCACCCAAATGGCAAATACAGCCTTTACCTTTGGATACATGCCAATTAAATTTTAAAAATGAAACACTGATCATTCAAAATGCTGTTAATTCTACAAATATCTATTTATTCATTATATTAAGAACAAGGCTTTTCTCTATTGCTTGCCAGTTATTTTTTTACCAGGTTTGTTCTAAGTACTAAAGTAGTAAGACAGTGATATTAAATACACCTTATTAATTATGCATAGTATGTACAGGCAAGAAGATGAACCCAGAGTATAAATGCCACGAGCAGTTTCTAATTAAGTTTTAATTTTTTAACATAGAAAACCATTATAAAGAAAATGGCATTTCAAAAATGCCATTTTTGATCTCTAAATATCACCATTTCAGGCTCAGTTTTTTTTTTTTATTTTATAGAATGTCCTGCTGTTTTTAGATATTTAAATACTGAAGCAGGTGCTGTCTGGATCATGATTCACAAGTTCCCAAAACATGCATTCTGTCAATATATTTTTGTTGATCTAAATATACGCATGGCTTGAAACGGATGGAAAACTGACAGGCAAATGCTGCAGTTCTATATCGACGGTTTGCCCTCTAGGTCTCTGTGGCAGTCAAATGACTGAATAGTTATGGATGAGATTGAAAAAAAAAGAAAAGAAGAGGTGCTGAACACCTCACTTCAGTATATACACACAGTAAATCCACGGCCTTCACTGTAAGCAGCCTGTCTTTCCCGGCATTTCAAGTAGCTATGGGAACGACAGCACTGCCTGATACCGTCTAAAGTTATGTGCATTCATGGGTGTGTGTGTGTGTGTGTGTGTGTGTTGAGGGACTGGTGTTGGATGGATTCCATTTATTGCGTAACCGTTTCTCCACTCTGAAACATCTCTACCATAAAGCAAAATAAGTGCTGAAGTCAAGAGTAGAGAACATTTCTTAACTCAAAACAAAACAAATATCATTTGAAATTAAACAAAAGCATCACCAAGTCATCTTTTCCAAACAGCCTTGTCTGGCTATTACTTCTAGTCAGAAGAAAGTGTTTAAGCGTTGAATAATGTGAGGACACATTACAGTCACAATGGTTTAGTCATGCATTTCCTATTACGCTGTTCACTGGGAGAACTCGTGAGGGTAAAAAAAAAAGAAGGTAAAAAAAGAAATGAGTGTGTGCACATGATGTTACTGCACATCTCTAAAAACAGCTAGGCCTTGTTTGCCGTCATCCAATAATTCATCGTGTTCACTAACAGTAAGAACACAAAAGGCATTTCAAAAGACCTTTAGACTTTGAAACTGACTATAACCTAGTACAAGATGTATTTCTATCAGTGATAACTGTAGAATGTAAGAGAAACCTTATCTCTTATATTGTCAGTACAAAGATAACCAAACCCACAGCAAACAGCTCCTACTTAGATGAGGCACAGAACATGCTTTCCTGTGCTGACCTTTCCACAAAGAGAGGGACACACCTAATGTAACATTAAGGTCCAGCAGGAAAACAGCAGTTCCTCCTTCCTTGTCAGGGACAGGGACAATAACCAAAGCAGGTCTCCAGCCAAAACATGTTGGATTTCCTGTTCTAACGTTACTCCACCACCGCAGCGATACTGATGGGTTTTTTTTCTGCTTAATTTGTGAATTTTGATCATGTTTAAAATGAATCAGGGGTTCCTAGGTCTGTGAATTGTAATACTTTTTCCATTACTTTTCCAATCTTTTGTGACTGTAGGCTATTAGGATTTTGCACAGTCAAAAATCTCTGGCTGGTAAAATACTTCAGATCTACCACACCTAGAAAAAAAATATATATTGGCTGTAAACATTTCCATGACAATTTAACATTGAATTGATTTTCATTTTCTGGGCCTGAAAATCAAACTTAAATTTCCTGGTTGTAGACTTTCAGGACTGTGCGAACTTTGTTGATTGTGGGGAGAAAAAATGCATGAAAATACTGCAGTGTTGCAACTGTAACATTATTTGAGTGGAGACAAAACGGTTTTTATTTTTATTTTTTAGCTTTTTTACTCGTGAACAAAAGCAAAGCACAGTTGAGTTACATGCATAGATTTGATCAGTATCTAAATAAATGCACAGTCAGCAGTTTTTTCAGTTACATGTAGCTAAGCTCAGAAACAAAGCAAATCTTTTTTAAAAAATACTCACACGATGACCCTAGATATAATCCACGACACCATTTTCCAACCTGTTGCACTTCCAAGTAATGAGTTTCGCTGCAGGTCCAGTCCAGATGTAATAAATTATTCAAGCAAGCTATAACTAACAATAACTTTTGTCTCGCTTCTCCAACCGCTTAAACTCAAACATTGAGTTCCTGTTTTTAAAGCATACGTTCTGATATCCACAAGTCTACAAGATGACATCGTTATTTGAAAAATAAGCACTCGTTTTAACTGTTGTTATCTCCCCTCCCTACATTATGTCCCGTTGTGTTAAACGTGATGTATATTATTTTTCTTCTTCGTTCTTCTCGTGTCGATTCAGAATAGAAACGATGTCAGTTTGATTGATGGCTAGACTGACCACTGATTGGACGGAGCCACTGGTTTGTCCCGCCTTTTGCATTTGCTGATTGGACCACTGACTCCAAACAGGGTCACAGGGCGGAGCAGTGCAAGCACGCTGGTTGCGTACTAGGATGAGGATGATTGAGTTTGTGGCAGGTAATTTTATGAAACATTTTTATTTGAAGATGTTAAAATATCCTTCGATGGATGGATAGATATTGTTATGTATTTAATGAACGTATTGTCGTGTAGTAGTTTGATGGATGGAATGTATTTTGAATGCAGGTTCAAAACAGTACTAGTTGATTTGCTTTTGTTCAAGGTCTCAGAATTGTTGGGGAGGGAACATTCTCATTCTAGAGAGCAGTTTATTGGACAAAAACTTGGATGCACCTGTGTAAGATAAGACATAAATATTTTCGATCCATGGTATGTTCTAAAATAGCCTACACTAACATATAGATGACCTCAATGGTAATTAATACCTCCTTACATTTGGGGGCTGACAAACAATCAAGATGATTTTTGAGATGAGAAATCATATTATGGGACTGTTGTTCACACCTGACTCTCAAAGTTTGTGATATGCTTTATATTTTGTGCTGCGGTCAGTTCGCAGTAGTGACAAATTATCTTTTTTTTCATTAAGTTTGAATTGAATTTTTACCTTTAATGGGCATTTTACCTTTATGAAGCCATTTTTAACCTAATTAGATTCATCATCTTTTGTGTCAAATTCTTACATTTAATCAACAAAGCAATTAGAATAATAAGACACAATAGGGCTGTTACCAATCAAATGAAATCCATATCAACTAAATTCATTTTTGCAATGCAGAGGAAACAAGCTGCATCTGAATTGGCATTCAGAGAGAGGCTGCTCACTGCTGAGCCATGGGTGGAGTGTGAAGTTCAGCTCTCCCTCTAGTATGTTCTATATACTGTAGTACTATATACTGTAGTATTGTACACTAGAATTTCGCTGTTAGTAGAAGGTCATCCATGTATTTTTTTGGCCTACTTTTTTATCAGTACTGTGAATTTTGACATACTGCTTTTGTCACATACTGTTTTTCATCTATTATATAGTAGGGAAGCATGCGATTTTGCATGCAGCTCCTAACCCTGCATACCCTGACTCCTGACATCAAGAGAGGTGTAGCTGGATGTCATTTGGCTCTGCAGTGAGCACCACTTGCATTTATTAGATTCATTTACACAGACTGTATTTAACCTGCAGTTTTTCAAAAATAAAATGTTGAATATTGATATTTTGAAATTATTTAAAAAATATACTTTAAATGTAAAATTAAAACTGCCCAGTGGCAACAAGTCACTGTTAATGAGAGAGAACATCATGCACATCTGAAACCACATATACTTCCCTAGTCGGCTAAAAACAGTATGTGACAAAAGAAATATGTCCGAACGAACTCATAAAGGTGTAGGCAAAAAGTACCTGGATGATCTCCTACTTCCGGCAAGATTGGCAAGATGCATACATACAATGGGCACTTTAACTTTAAATGCATTAATGTCTCTTAATGAACAATATACAACAGCGCATATTTTCTGCCACAATTGTTTTTCTTTCAATTTGCCCTCAAGGTGATTTTGCAGTGTGCATTAGATTGTTAAAATGCATGAGGGAGTAGCAGAGTGATTAATGATGACTTTGACCATTCTTTTGTAGATGTCTGCACCCATCAGTGATCATTTGATCCACACTAAGAATATAAATGAAAAATGTATGAAGTCTTGATTTTGGTACGCTGAGTCCAATGATCACCCTCAAGGAATTGTGTTTTTATCTGGTCTCAAAATCAAAAGCAGATGTTAAAATATTCATCCCTAACCCATCCATTATTGTGTAGTGTTTGGCTACTAATAAATAAATAAATACTGTAGTGGCTTTGTTGCAATGTGTTAGGAGAAAATTACATTCAAAATTACATTCATATACATACAATATTGGTAAAGGGACTCATTCTTAGGGTCATTCCATCTCAAGAGGTTCAGTCTAGGATGCTTGGCCATTTTTAATTTTCCAAAATAGTTCAGCTCAGGATGATCCTATAGCTCCTTAAAAAAGAAAAATGTGCTCATTACAAGGTACACGTGTTCATAATTTGCACTTTTTTTTTTCGTTTTGTTTACTGAAATCCAAGCAAAGTTTACCAAAGTCCAAATGAAAAGAACAATAATGCTCAGGGTTCCACCTTCAGAGAATGTTTTCCGTCTCAGCCCTTATTTTTTTAATAGTGCATTTTTTTTTATAAAATACACATTTTGGGCAAGAGTCTCAGTTTGCATGTGTGATTAAATGCCTTGTCTGTGTGCCACCTGGAGACAGACAGTCATTTCCATATAGACATTATCACTCTCCCAACAGCTGTCATAAATTCACTTATTTTTCCAACAGATCACCAGTATTTAATATAATAATGGAAAGTTTAAGTCACGTAATTTAATAACGAAGTAGTATAACAATTTATTAGGAATATAATAGCTAGCCTTTATTATATTATTTATTGGGCTATTTAAACATTATGAAGAATTATTTACAAAACACAAATGCCAAATCCCTCAAAGAAAAGCACCCCCTCCTCTTTTTTCTAGGCTTTAGGATTGGTTCAAGGTTGGATGCGCGTGCCCTTGTCGCTGGCGCGTGCCCCGTCCTTCAGCAGAATCCCTGCGCGCGATAACGCGTCAGCATCAAGCAAAAGGATCACTAATATGTCTAATGAATGATACGTCTGATAGCTGACGAACTGCACGAGCTTTCTTCACTCTGGGATCGCGGATCCTGATATCAGGGGAGACGGGGCGTGTTTGAGGTGAGAGTGAACATAAGTGATGCTTTTGTGGTTGTGTTGTGCATTTTGTTGGTTATGCCAGGTTTCGGAGGACTCGTGCAAGGGTCTGCAATTCCGCCCGAGGAGCTGTCTGTGGTTCTGAAAGAATCGAGTCTCTGTGCAAGACTGCGTTTTTGGTTACACGAAAATTAGCTTCCTGCTCCATTTTCTGGCGGTCTGAAGCAAGATAAGACAGCGAATCTCGCTTGACACACCATTAAGCCTTCACATGCATGACATACGGATGCAGCACGAGGTGGAAACAGTGTCCCACCGATCCTGCAAAACTGAGAAGTGTGTTTGATCTGTGACCTGCTGTCATCAGGATTTTTTTTTAGCGTTTACGTCTACATGTTCATTTTAACCTTGAGAGGAAAAATCCTGTAATACATGGTTTTAAGATAGCCGAACATGATTGCAATCCAAATTATAGCCGTGCAGTTTGGGTTTCACTCAAACATCGTTGGTAAAGCATCAGAAATGACACAATCAGCAGGATTGTCATTGACATTGTCAACTGATCTTTAGTTCTGCAATGTTGCAGTGTCATAAATATTTTCATTTCTTTATTCTTTTTTATCCTATCATGCAATATTTGGTGTTTTAAGCAGCCAGGTGTATCATTGTTTGTTGTGTGCCTTGTTTCTCTATCAGGTGTATATATCCACTGGAGTAGCTGTTCTGCATAGTTTTTGAACCATGGCGAAGAACAACAGTCTCCATCCAAATAGCAATGGAGAGACGGACGACTCACCAAACATGCTGGTTTACAGAAAGGTAGGACTTTCGAATAAGTATTTGGATTGCTTGTGGTTGCTTTTAAACAAAACTACTATGATGAGCTTTGTTGTGAGCACAGTGTTGGGAAAAAAATGAATGAGCTAGTTGTTTGAAAAGCCATTTTCTGTGTAGACTAAAATATTTGCTACAAAAAGCTATTACACATTTCAACTGTTATTGCCCAGAAAAAAGGTAAGAACTGCCACACACTGACCTTTTGTAACAACATGCCCCATTGTTACAATGGAAATCATTTATTAAATAGCATATTAATTCAACGGCGATTTATTGGCTTTACAGCATTGCGTAAACGTCATGACACAAGCATACAAATAGGCTGCAACATTTTAGCTAACACATGTTTACAACATGAAAATACCCTTGTGTTGCTAATACAATTCAACCTTAAAATCAAACTTCATATACTTCATTCCCTTGTTTTAATGTATAACAGTATGGTTTTATTGAGTTACGTTGTGTCACCAGTCATTATATAAAAATGTGAAGATAGTTTAAAAGAGTAGTTCATTTATAAAAAAAATAAAAAAAACTTTTGCTGATAGTTTACTCACCCCCATGTCATCCAAGATATCCATGTCATTCTTTCTTCTGTCGAAAAGAAATTAAGGTTTTTGATGAAAACATTACAGGATTTTTCTCCATATAATGCACTTTACTGGTAAGTAACCAAACAATTCAAGGTCCAAAAGACAGTTTCAGTGCAAATCTTTTTTTGTGTCATTTGGTTCATTCAACGAACGAAATGAACGAATTGACTCAGAAAAAGATTCGTTCATTTTGATGAACAAGTTCGAACAGGAGAGTCACGAACGCGCATCACAGAACAGAGCAAGGCGACCATTTGAGCTTATAAAACTTTGTTATATATCTTTTTAAATGAGCGATCGTTTCGCTTGATAAGACTCTTGTTCATCGTCTGGAATTGTTTAAAGCCCTTTGAACAGTTTGCAGTTTGCACTGAAACTGTCTTTTGGACCTTGAACCGTTTGGTTACCAGTAAAGTGCATTATATGGAGAAAAATCCTGGATGACATGGGGGTGAGTAAATTATCAGCAAAAGTTTTTTTTTTTTTAAAGTGAACTACTCCTTTAAGTTTGGAGAAAAGTTTTCACAACTTTTATCTTTTTGACAACTTCCCATTGTGACTATGACAATGGAGGGCATTTTCTTGTGAAGCAACAGGGATGAAAAAAAAAAAAAACATTTAGAAAAAGTAGAGGTGGACATTGAAACTTTTTGGACCTTTCTTACTCTCCATCTTTCTGATGATTGGTAATTTGCTCATCACAGCCAAAGTCATTTGTGTTGCTGATTGGGAACTGAAGT